AACTATACATTTCATTTACTAAATTATTCATCTGTTTATACAGCGGAGACTTTTGCAATTTTACAAGTACTAAATTGGATAAAAAGCTATGGAGAAAGCAAATCGGTTATTATTTCAGACTCTAAATCTGCTTTACTTTCAATTTCTAACTATTCCTGCAATATTAACAAAAATTATTAAGAGAAATTATTCAGTCTCTCCTTACTCTTCATAATTCTAAAATCAAGATCGTTTTTATCTGGGTTAAAAGTCATAAAGGGATAGTTGGAAATGAAAAAGTCGATTTAGCTGCTAAAGAATCCATTCTTCTTCCAACTATTAGTAATATTCATTCTCCGCAGGATATTATTCATGCAATGAAACGAAATATTAGATCAAGCTGGAAGAAACTTTGGGAACACTTTGTTTCTCATTTAAATAACCCATAATATACATTTATTCACCCTGTTCTTCCAAAATCTATTCCCCACATTATAAATTTTAAAATGTCTAGGTATTATTGTACCACTTTAATAAGGATGAAACTAAATCATGGGGATTTTCCGTCTCACCTTTCCAGAATTGGTATTAATATATCACCTTTCTGTCAATGCGACAATTCTTCTTTTGCTGATATCAACCATCTCATTTTTTCTTGTAGCCACCATAATTCTCATCGTTCAGATTTTCTTAAAAAACTTTCTTTCCTAAATATCCTTTTTCCATCAAGTATTTCTATTTTATTAAGTTCATTTAATGAGAAAATATATAACTTAATTATTGAATTTTGAATAGAAGAAAATATTAAAATATAAATAAATAAACAAAAACTTATTCGGTTTACAAAAGTCTGTGGCAACAAAAACTACGTTTAGATGCCAATTCCCCAAAAGAAAAAAATAAATAAATGTTGAGTGAAGTATAAGCATAATCTTGTATTTTAAGAGTTATAATAATTAATTTGTGAATAAATTATTTCCTTCATTCAAACGAGAAAGCAGACCTGCTAGCAAGGAAGGGAGCGGAAAAAACTCTTATTGGACCAGAACACACGTGTGGTATCTCATACCAACGTGTAAAATGGGTTTTAAAGGAACAAATAAAAAGAGAACACCATAGGCTCTGGATGAAACTTCCTGGACTAAGACAGTCCAAAAGATCCACGAGCAGACAACATCAACTGCTAAACCTTAGCAGAAGCGAACTCAAGGCCGTAATAGGACTCCTTACGGGACACTGCGGCCTTAGAAGACACCTTAATCTCTTACGGATATCTGATGACTCCCTATGTAGAATAGGTGAAGAGGAGGACAAAACTCCTATTCACATACTATGCCACTGCCGGAACCATAAATGGGAATGGGAATGGTACTTCGGGGTACAATATCCGGAACCTGAAGAAATCGCAAAAGCGCCTATTAGACATATTCTTGAATTCATCAAGAAAATCAATCTGATGGGATAGAAACTGTGAGGGGTACAATAAGCCTAGAGCTTCAGTACAAGGAGGCTTTGAACCACGCCCTAATTCAGATAGATAGAAGAACAAGGTATTATTGAATATAAATAAAGTATATTTAAAAAAAGTGTAAGACTTTTTGTTTCAAGATTATTAATTTCTTCAATAAAACTATCCTATAGTTCAACCAAAATCAATATATTTATGTCAAAGATCATATTATTATTGTAACAAATTTAGTTGTATTGGATTTAACTGATTTAAGAACAAGATAGTAATAAATATAAATAAAGTATATTTAAAACAAGTGTAAGACTATTTCATTTACATACACTTAATTGTATACTAAATCTATTTGAAACATGGTGTCAAAATAATTCCTTAATTCTTAATATTGATAAATCCGTTTATGTAAATTTTAGATGCGTCAAAAATAGCCTACCTATAGCAGTCCCATCAATTACACATGAAGTAAAAATGAAATTTTTGGGAGTTTATGTTGACCAATTTTTGTCATGGGATTCACATGTTGATCAAGTATGTAAAAAGCTTAACTCTGCTTTTTATGCCATATTGCAATTAAAGAAGACTATGGACCAAAAATCATTATTAAATATTTACTTTTCCTTAGTTTACCCTTACCTATCAAATAATGTTAGTTTATGGGGAGACTGTGTAACGTCTAACAAAGTTTTTGTTAAACAAAAGCGCATTATACGCATATTATTTGGAATTCAGGCAGGGGAAAGCTGTAAGCAAATGTTCATAAAACATAAAATTCTTCCGTTACCATGCATTTATATTTATAAAACACTTCTGTATGTAAAGTCTAACTTACACAAATTCAAAAAAAATTCCGATTTTCATAGATATCCCAACAGAAATGCAAACACGTTTATTTCGGTTCAACATAGACTAGCTTTGTTTGAAAAGTCACCGCAATATATAGGCATAAAACTCTTTAATAAATTACCTAAAAATATTCAAGCATTATCTTACACTAAATTCAAATCTAATGTAAAAACTATTATTACTCGTGGTTCCTTTTATTCTGTTAACGATTTTTTGTCTGAAGATAGTCTTCTTTAAAAAAAAAAATATTTTGATTTGTGTTTAACTATTAGTTTTAACGTATGTGTTCAGTGTAATGTAATTTTAATTTTACTTAAAATTTTATTTATTATTGTTGACGTGTACATCCATCTATGATGGCAGCATTGGCTAGTACTAATAAAGATATTATTATTAGTATTATTACTAGCTGCGAAACCCGGCGTTGCACGGGTTAAAATATACACCGCATGTTTAATGGTGTAAAAAAAACATGAAAACACATTTTTAATGTAAAGTCGCTCCAAATGAAGTCATTTGAAAAGTTATGTCGTCGTATATTTTGTAGAAACTGATTGGAATCTGGTGTTTCTCCGTTCATATATGCGAGTAATTCTGGTGGCGGTATATTCAATGGTGGTAAATTTACTTTGACATTTGAGCAACACATACCAGCAGTTTCTCCTTGAAATTTGCGTGCATTACAATACTTGCATATCGTATCCATTTTTCCAATGATTACATTCGGATGTTCACTATATTTCTTTTTACAATCATAATGAAATGCCTGAAGTTCTAAACTTCCTCGTGATCTAGTTTGATCGGTTTGATTTTTTCTGAGTTTCTTCATACGTTCACGATTATTCGAACGTCGATTTTCCCTTTGTTCTTCTGTTTCATTTTGACGTGCTTCTTTCATTTTTTTTGCTCTCACTTTAGGTTTTGTAAATACTTTTTTACGTTTTGGCATTATGTATATGTAATGTAATAAAATTACACAAAATCGATCTCTTGCTTGTTACGATGATAACACTAACAAAGTCACTAAATTATGGTTTATAAATAATCGAACATGAAAATTTCAAGTATTGGAACACTCTAGAATCTTCGAATAGTTTGTTCTGTTTTACTTGTCAAAATCACGTGAATCGTTTTAAGCACTGGTCACTTTTAATTCCCACTGATCATCACTCGACTGCAGACACGATTGAACTAACGAAAAGCCTCTGAATTCGGGTTTATATACCATTACATATAGAAATTTCTAGTATTGGAACACTCTAGAATATTTAGATGCACATCACTTACATTTAGCTCTTTTAGATCGATTATCATAATACTCATACACATTTCTCGATCATTATAGAATTTTTATGTACTTTCTGGAACGTTCCAGAATGATAATAACCGATTTTACACATTTTTGAACTTTCTAGATCATTCCAGAAATTTTTTGAATTTTCTGGATCCTTTCAGAATGATAATAACCGATATTATTAATTTCGGAACTTTCTAGATCATTCGAGAAATTTTTAGAATTTTCTGGATCGTTTCAGAATAATAATAACCGATATTATTAATTTCGGAACTTTCTAGATCATTCCAGAAATTATTAGAATTTTGTGGATCGTTTCAGAATGATAATAACCAATATTATTAATTTCGGAACTTTCTAGATCATTCCAGAAATTTTTAGAATTTTCTGGAACGTTCCAGAATGATAATAACGTATAATATTAATTTCGGAACTTTCTAGATCATTCTAGAAATTTTCAGAACTTTCCCGAAGTTCTAATGAGTTAGAAAAGGACAGATATATATCTTATCAAATTTTTGCCTCCCACAACCACCCATTTCCACCCACCGCGCCCAAACTCCCTTACTTCCTTCTAGGACCCAAGTGGTGTTTACCACCCCAATGGTGATGTTGTTGGAGTTGGTGGTGATAAAGAAAACCGGTCACACACATATTCTACGCTAGCATTTTTTATATATATATATATATATATATATATATATATATATATATATATATATATATATATATATATATATATATATTAATATTATTATTTAAGATGTACATAATACTGCAATTGAGCAATAGATACTCTTTAAGTTTATTCTAATCTTGAAGCAAGGCTTATTAGTAATTGTTGAACAAGTATTACTAGAATTTCAAATCGAGACGAGTTTTACTTGCGGATATACAAACACAACAAAGCATTGAACTAAGACCATTCATCTTGAATATAGTACACATTTTTGTGTGTGTAAGGTTTGTAAAACGATGTGTCATGTTATTATGTGCCATCCTGCGATGACATATTTAAATGATTTAATTTAAGTTTTTGGCTAAGATATGTCATAAATTGAGATATGTCTATAATTACCGAAAATTTAAATGAATTTGCTGCAATTATGAAATTGATTTGTTAATTGTATAAAGGCGACATGTATCTATATTTTGCATTATTTGACAGATTCGCCAAATGAAAAAGTCAATAATGAATGTAATAGAAAGATGGAAGTTGTGAATTTGACTGAAAGATTTTCAGTGTTATCGCGCCTTAGGGTATCCAGAAAAAAAAAAGATTTCCAAAAATCTTCCCTGTTGTAACATTAACGATTACAAATAATTTTACTTGATTAGATAAGGAATGGTGGTGTGAAATGTTCAACTAAATCTTGATATATTTATAAAATAATTATTAAATAATGTATTTCTTACCGAATACTGCGTGTAATTGATCCCGAATGATGTATTCGAATGAATTCATTGGAAGTAGTCGCCATATGGAAGGATGAATGTTTTTCATTGACGAAGAATGTATCGGGCACCCAGATGTTTTTGATGAATTCCGATCCTACAGAAAGGATTTCCACACTGGGCCTTTTCCGGAAAGCCAGTCGTGGGTCTGTCCAGAATTGTCGAAAGTAAAAGTCCAAGGTGAAATCCTGTGGAAATTCAATACAAATTAGTTTCAAAATATTATAAGTATTATACTGTACTATTTAAGTACTACAAAAGAAACAAATTTGCCAAATTTAAAGTAATAATTTTTTGTAGAACGACATAAAGTTTTCTTTTGAAGTACCTATTTAAAGTAACTATTTAAAGAAAAAATATAAATTATAAAGGCAATACAATAACAAACTTTATAGAAGGTTTGACATATAATATGATAAAAGAACATTTATTTATTAGATATTATAGTTCATGCAAAGAAGGATAAATTCATGCAACATTCGGAAACAAATTTTGTACATTTTCCCAGTTTTATCTATCTGTTGTACTTAGATTTTAATATAAAAATAATAATATTAAAAAATAATAATTTGTTGTATAAGTAATTTTTTTACAATAATTTTTTTAAAGTTGTGTCAACAACTTTATATTACATGCTCCTATTTTATTAGATACTAGCATTATAATATAAGCGTATTTTAACCAATCATATATACGGGATGACTCCTTACAATAGCTTTAATTAACAATTCATTATAAAAAGCAATCTATTTATTTATATACAGGGTATAACAAAAATATATACAGTAGATTTGATCACGGTTTTTATGGTCGAAAATAAACTAAGTTAACTTGCAAACTTGAGGTAGCCATGTGTGAATTAATGTATTGAAGGTGGGAAAAAGAAAGAAAACATATCTATTATATCTCACAAAGAAATTTGTATTTGAACGGCGACCGATTTCGAAGTTTGTTTACTTCATCATCAGGCACACCTAGTGGGTAAAAGAATAGGGGGAATTGATGAGTTTTAAGTTGTTAGCCAAAAATTAAAACATCAAAATTAAAAAATGCTGGAATATTGATTTAGTTTAAACGAAATTAACAAAACTTATATACTAATATTACTAATATTTATTTATTCATACTAACAAAAAAAGAAATAGGAAAAACATTTTTTGTTAATGAATATTGCAAAAATATATGTTGGAACAAACCATCAACAAAAAATGTTAAAATATCTAGAAATGACTATATAGTATAATAAAAAACCCAAAAACTCACTATAATCTCTTATCCACTAGGTATAAAACTACCGGATTACTATCTTGAAGGAATAGAGGCGAACTGAACATTTATTATTTTTTAAAAAAGCATTAGTATTTGTCGTGGGTTTAAAAACATATTAAAATTAAACATGTTAAAATAACGATACTAAAAATATTAATAAGCCTACATTACAAAATCAAAAAACTGCCAAATTTTTTAATGTTCACAAAAGCAAATTGAAGAATTCAAATTTGAAAAAAGAAATAATTTTTAATTTATAGAGGTGCTGCCCTCCAGTAGGAAGTGGCAAAACTAATAGTTAATAAATTTCAAAAAATTATGTCTATCATAAGTAACGAAAAATCTCCACTAGGTGGAAATTTTTCTAAAAAATGGAAATAAGACTATAAAAGGAAAAAATAAAAAAAAATGTGGGGACATAAGACAAAAAGATTTAATAGTTTTAGTTTAAGAATAATAATATTTATGTAAACCCATGAACAAATTACTAATCTGGGGGAAAACAATTTTAATTTTAGGACTAGTTGGTAGCACTGTGACAACGAAATGAAAAATCTAAGAAATTTTAAAAATTTGACAATACATGGAAAAAAAATGAAAAAATTTGAATCACATCTAAAAAAGAGTTTGGGGAAATTTAGAAAAGACCAATAAAGAAAAGGGCAATAATAATCAGCGAAATAAAAAATGAAAATTGAAGAAGTAATAAAATTTTTTTATTTAAAGTAAAGTGGAAAAAATAGGAGAAGAAACAAATTGGAATTGTGCATTCAAGCAACTTCCTGGGGAGGCTTTAGGATTTCTCATTAATTCTAGGTTCTCAAAACTATTAAGAGTAGATCTGTTAAAGGTGTTGTGTAAGATTTTGAAATCTGTTGAAAAATTGAAAGTTGACATGTGACTATAATATGGTTGGCAAAATGAGATAAACCAGTATGGTTTTGGTTCAGACATCTAGTGGGCTCTTTTGTTCAACAACAATTATATTTGTTCTTAAATTTTTATTTCGTATGTCGCTGATTATTATTGCCCTTTTCGTTATTAGTCTTTTCTAAATTTCCCCAAGAATCTTTTTTACACGAGGTTTAATTTTTTTAATTTTTTTCCTATGTACTATTAAATTTAAAATTTTCAGAATTTCTTAGATCTGCCATTTTGCTTCCTCCTAAAATTAAATTTTTTCCCCCCCAGATTAGTAATTTGTTCATGGGTTTACAAAAATAAATATTATTATTGTTAAACTAAAACTATTGAATCTTTCTGTCAATTTTTCGTCTTATGTCCCCACAATTTAAATTTTTTTAATTTTTTCGTTTTTTAGTCATATTTACGTTTTTTTAAAAAACTTTTTGTATTTCCACCTAGTGGAGATTTTTCGTTACTTATTATAAACCTAATTTTTTGAAATTTATTAACTATTAGTTTTGCCACTCCCTACTGTGAACATTAAAAGAACTTTGGCAGTTTTTTACTTTGTAATGTAGGCTAATTAATATTTTTAGTATCGTTATTATAACATGTGACGTTAAATTTTAATTTGTTTTTGACCCCCGACAAATACCAATGCTTTTAAAAAAAAAATTAAATATTCAGTTCACCTCTATTAATTCAAGATTGTAATCCAGTAGGTTTACCCCTAGTGGATAAGAGATTACGGTGATTTTTGTGTGTTTTTTATTATACTATATATGTTGGAACAAACCATCAACAAAAAATGGTAAACGATAAAGATTTTACTATTTTTGTTGATAGATTGTTCCAACATATATTTTTTCAATATTCATTAACAAAAATTTTTTCCCTTTTTCTTTTTATTCAGTTAGTACATTAATTTGATTAATAATTTTTTGTTAGTGTGCATAAATAAATATTTGTAGTATTAGTATATTAGTTTTGTTAATTTGGCTTAAACTAAATCAATATATCATAATTTTGAATTTTTTAATTTTTGTTTAAATTTTTGGCTAACAACTTAAAACTCATCAATTCCCCCTTTTCTCTTACCCACTAGGTGTGCCTGATGATGAAGTGAACAAACTTCGATACCGTCCAAATACAAATTTCTTTGTGAGATATAAAGGACCTGTTTTATTTCCGTTTACAACCTTTAAGTTAACTTGCTTGTATAAAAGATGGATAGTAAAAAAGTTGCAGGTTGTTAAAGTAGACATTTAAAAAGTGATTTTTTGCTTTTACTCTAAAACGGCTTAACATATTTTTATGAAAATGAACAGGGTATGTTAGTATAAAATGTAGTTAGTGGGGGTTCCATATCCCTTTGAACCCCTTACTTTTTTAGACTATGCAATTCAGTTAAAAACAAGACGTCACAAAAATCCTAGATCTCTTTTGAAATGTTGTATCTTAATAGTTGTTTGTGAAAGCCTTAATTACTAAGTTATAGGCCGCTAAAAAAGGTCGTAGTATAAATTATTTACAATAAAAAAATTCTATTGACTTTAAACCATTGAATATTTGTTAACTATTTTTTACTATTCCATAACGTCATGGATAATAATGGAAAATTATTGTAAATATGTCTATTTAACTTTACTTATAATTATTTATATTCCCTCGTATTATCATTTATGAAGTTGTAAAATAATAAAAAAAATTGTAAACAAAATAAATATTCAGTGGTTTAAATTAAATAGAAAAATGTCATTGCCAGTATTTTTCACTATTACGAAAGGTCCTATAATAATTTAATTAAGGCTTTTACAAACAAATGCTAACAGGAAAAAAACCTGTTGAATTTCAGTGGCTTTCTGTTTTTAACTGAATTTCGTTGTATAAAAAATTAGGGAGTCTTAAAGATTACGGAATTGAAAGAATTTTAAACGCCATAAATTGCATTTTATTGGAATGTCCACTGTAAGACACTGGACCTTTTTTACTGTACACCTTTTTGTTACACCCTGTATATAATTGATCTTATAATACGCACTTATATTCTGGCCTTAAGGATCTAATTGCTACATACAGTGCGGTCCATTTATTTTCTACGTAATTTACAATAATTTTGGAGTAAAATCTTGAAACAAACCACATCTCAATAGTATCAAAATTTAAATTCTTTGGCTATTCGAAAGACTCATTGTTAAAATAATGATTAACTTGACAATCAGCGATAAACAACTAGAATGATATGTTTGTACAAATAGCCAATAAAGAAATTTAAATGATATTTTTTTTCTGATTTGCAATAAGAAACCTTTTTTACTTCTTTCTTTTTGTTAATACATTTAATTAAATAGTTATGACACAAAATCAATTAGAGAAGTCAGTTTTGACAGATATTTGGCATTAAGTCATAGTTTAGGGTGCTTTTGATTGTATACATTTCACACACATCTCAAAATTTTCAAATTTAGTTTTCTTGATAAAGAATACACAAAATTAAAAAATTCCCATTTTGCTGGATAATTTAAAAATTTAAAAATCACACCAAGGAAATTGAAAGAGAGGTATACAATTATGCTTAAAAAAAAATTTGAGAATTAAAAATTGACCCATTCCAGAATTTTAGTAATAAATTGTAAATGACGTAGAAATTTAGTTTATCCTTTACTTATGAACCGGACTGTATGTTTCGAGTATTAAAAAAAATTGAGCAAATACTCTTTAAAGTCTATATTTATTTTAATTAAGACTATAATAATCTGAGGCTAGAATCCTTTTTGGGCTTTCGTTTAGAGGGGTTATAAAGACAAAGTACAGTAGTCTTATAATTATGTTTACCACAAAGTGACTCCAAAGATTTTTATTGTGTACCTTATATTTATACCTAGAAAACTATTTTCCCTTCTATGTTAAAGAAAAATAAACCTCGTTCTTTATTATTTTCTTAAATTATACTTAGTAGATGTAGCGAGTTATATTTTGAAGTCATTTTGTCAAAGGAAATTCCTAATTGGTC